CCTCCATCTCTCTCCTTCTACTCCTCCCTTCTTCTCCCCCTCCTCCCTCCTGCTCCTCCTCCTCCTCCTCCTCCTCCTCCTCCTCCTCCTCCTCCTCCCCCTCCTCCTCCTCCTCCCCTATCCCACGACATCGCTGACCAGCACCCGGAATAACAATTGAAAGCGTAGCGAAATCCCGCTCCCCCTCTTGCTGCGCTGCCTATTCCCTTAGAGAAACCAGCGGAAACCTTAGAAACTTGTCGAACACAACATAAGATGACCGAACACACTGGATTACACAACAGAGGGCTTGACAACTACCACGCAAATGCCATCCTCGTGTTCGAAGCAATCGATCATCGCAGCGTCCATGAGAATGAGGACCCAGTCAGAGAAAGAGCCAGGCCCCGCCCCCATGCCTCCCAGAGCTTATAAGCATCCCTGATGTGTCCTCGTCCTCCTCCTTCTCCTCCTCCTCATCTTCCTCCTCCTCCTCCTCCTCTCCCTCCTCCTCCTTTCATCTCCTGTCCTGCCACATTCCCCGCTCCGTTATCCATCCTACCCGCTCTTCTTCGCCCCTCTATCTCCTCCCCCCATCCAAACGCAACTTACCTCGCTTCGGGCGATCACCACCGGAATCTTGCTGGATGCATTTCGGGCTTGCCGGGGCCAGAGTGACATCGTAACGCCTGGCATGTGTGACGGCGTGCAAGAGGAGCGCTTGCTGCATAGCCATTGGGTGCGATTATATCATGCTGTAGTTTTTAACGTTCGATTCTGCCCTAAAATCCAAGAGCTTGCTACGTGTTGTTACGTTATGTCCTCGTCGAACCAGCGTGACATCGTGACGCCTGTTGAGTTTGACACGTCACCACTTATGCTAAGGTCTATTATAATCACGCGTGTGTTAATACTTGACACGATGCTATGTGATCGTCTCCTTCCCATTGCTATAGTACTGGGACATCTGTCACGGCCTTGCTTTTGTTGGCACGCATGTTGCATTTGACAGGACGGCGTCAATCGGTACAGTCACCGGCCCGACCTAAGGAACGATGAACAAGGAACGAGGCCCCCTTTTCCCAAGGAGTAACACAGAAGGAACGATCAATAATACATAACGCATGAGGAACGGTAAACAACGCATGCAAACCTAAGGAACGACCGAACCCCATTTGAAAAGTAAGAGTGTTCCTTATTCGAGCCGCGCACTGTGAATGCTGTATGCTGTTCAAGTGCGTGATAATGCAACACGCCAACAATATGCTATTCGAGTTAGTTCCGCTCTCGGCGGGCCGGCGAGGCGCCGTGACGCCTGTCACGTCTGATATCTTGCTGTGCTACCACGTCTGTTATGCCGTCGCATCGCTTCTCGCACTGCGCTCCGTAATGCTCAGGTGGGGTCCGATTTCTCTGTTCTGCTATGTCATGCACGCCCCATTCCAGGCCTATAGGAATGTTGAGCGTTACATGATGTCATTCATGTTTTCGGATCGCATCATGCTCTGAACTGACCTGCTGCGCTTCGATATCGTCGACACCCTAATCCATTCAACTCTGCTGTGCTATATCATGTTCGATTCGGTTATCAGTCTGTTATAGGGTGTGTCCTGCTTTGTATGTTCTGGTCTGGTCTGGTTTGCCATGCCGTGTGACGGCCCACGAAGGAAGGGATCCCCCCGGGATCCCTGGTGATCCTGTGGACCCGGCATCAGCTGTATGTGTCGGCCCACACAGAGTTCTCCGCGGGATCCCTGGTGGTCCTGGGGATCTGGCCTGAGTACGGCTGGGGGGTCAGGTCTGCAGAACGCCCCAAGCGGACGTCAAGGGTCGTAACCAACCTGTTCGGTCAAGCTGAAGTTGATGCACCACACCCGGCGTCAAGCCAAAACTCTGGACATAACCGAAAGGTTGGATGTTGCACATCTTCGTCGGCTCAACCAGCGAGGCGTTTGACCACCTCGACGTCCCTTTTGGGGCGGTCCTGCAGAGGAAGGCACTCTCTGACCCTCGGCCCTACTTACGATCTGGCAGCCGCGGTACGTGGCGGCCCACACAACCAGAGTTCCCCCCACGGTGTACCACCGGCTGTCCTGGGGATCTCTGGCGGCCGCGGCACGTGGCGGCGCGCACAAAGGGATCCCCGCGGGACCACGGGTGGTTTCCTGGGGATCTGGCGGCCGCGGGGTGTGCTGGGCGGGCACGTCGGGAGGCACGTATGCTCTGAAATAGGGGAACGAAGAATGCCATAAACATAACAACTCGGAGGTCCGCGCGTCCAGCGCGGGTCCCAGGAATCCGCGCGGACCTCCGAGTTGTTATGTTCATGTCGTTGTTCGTTCCCCGATGAAAACCAAACCACCCAACCTGCCAGGTGGGGAAACTGGGACATCAACAGTGGGGGCGATACCCAGCTACACAGATATTTCAAAGTAGCAGCGGCCGCTGTTGGGGAGACGATGTCTGCCACAAGCGGACGACCATCGCCATGCCGAAATTGATGAGGAACTGCTGTCAGCCGTCGTCACCGCTAGGTCTCCTCCCCATCTTGGCGCCCCTGGTATCCAGACCTCCGACGTATGCTGTCCCTGTGCGTGGCCCCAATAGCTCTCGACACCTTTCCCAGTGCCCTTGCTTAGTCCAGGGCAGCCCTCCGATGACGGCCTGGAAGCCCGACACTGGGGACGAAAGATACGACATCGAACGGATCACGGCGTCCCAAGCTTGAAGCTTGCCCGCCAACTTTTGGTCACTTCGCAGGACTCGCCCGAGGTCGCCTGCACCACTGCTGCACGCTCTGGGTGCAGAACCCTCTTCTGTCCGCCTCCGCGGCCGCACTCCTACTTTTCCATCTGCTTCGGTGCGCAGCGAGCTCTGCCGCGTCCAGGCTGTCGATGTTCGACGCCTCGTGTCAACGTCGCCGCTGGCAAAACGCTTGGGCCTTCCTTCCTCCTCCTCCTCCTCCTCCTCCTCCTCCTCCTCCTCCTCCTCCTCCCGCCCTCCCCCTCCTCCCGGGCCGGCCGTGGCGCCCGCCGTATCCTTCTTCTCGAAGGCCGCGGTGGTGAGCTCCAGGGCCTGCTGCATGGCCTCCCCCCCAGGAGCACCCCGACCTTGCCATCGCTCGGACGTCCGTACTCCCCTGCATTGTTCGGCTTCGTGCGATTATGTTGTCCCGCGGGATGATCCAGGATGCTTTTCGATGCATCGGAAGCGAGCCTAGGGGGGCCGTGACAAGAAGACGTCCCCCGGCCCTCTGAAGTTGTTTTCCAAGCCGTCCTCGGATACCAACAACAAAAACTTCTCAGAAGGCGCGAGGGCTTCTGAGAAGCTCCGCCGCCCTCTGACACGGCCCGCTCCTTCTCACCTCCCCCCCTCGGCGGCGACGATAGGGGGCGAATAGCCCAGGGGCGGGCACTATACGCATTCGCCCAGGAGCCTTCTCGAAGACTCGGCGGTGGACAAACCTCCCTTTAGCAAACCTCCCTTTAGTGAAGACGGCCTAGGACCGAAACCGACGGACCTGGACCCGCAAAAATGACGGCCGCGGCGCCCTCTCGCGAACCGAAAACGGCCAATTCGCTAATCGACGTGTCAGGGTAGGAGGCCTGTCCACCCCCGAAAGACGTACCTCATCGGCGCACCCGGATGCGTGCATCGAACCCCCCGGGGCTGTTCGCCCCCCTCGTCGCCTCGGACCTGGCCCTCCTCCGAGAGGCCTTCTGGCTCACGGTCCACAACTGGGGACCCCGGCGGCAGAGGGATCCGAGCACTGCCACCACGAGACGCCTCTCAACGAAGAGCACCCCGGGGCCCGAAGACGCCCACGGGCACCCCCAGACTTCCGAGGACGCAGCTCCTCGGCGCACCCGAACACGTGCACTGCTCTCCCCGGGGGCTGTCCGCCCCCCTCGTCTAGGGGGCCAGATGCGAACCCTACCCCTACCCCCCACGATTTCTGAGGGGGAGGGTGGGGTTCACTTCGTTCGGGGTAGGGCGAGCGAAGTGAACCCCACCCTCCCCCTCAGAAATCGTGGGGGGTAGGGGTAGGGTTCGCATCTGGCCCCCTAATAGACCCATCTGGACTGCCCAAAACCTCGACAGGAATTTAGGTGTCAAAATCCTGGTGCTGTTTTCTGGCCCTCCTGGAAGGTCAGGGGAGCCCGGTTCACTCGAGGACGGACGCAAACCCCTTTAGTAGAACGTGGTTTAGTGAAAACGACCTCGGACCCAAACCTGGCGGGGGCAAGCCTGGAAAATGGCGGCCGCGGCGCCCTCTCGAGAGCCGGAAACAGGCTATTCACTGATCGACGTGTCAGGGTGGGGGGGTTCTGTCCACCCCCGGTTCAAAGACCATTGAACCAGATCAGTCTGGAGCTAGGCTGAGCGGAATTCACCAGATAAGACGGCATTCGAATGAGGAGACTGCCGAATGGAGCCTCCCAGGAGTTACAGCCAAGCCCGAACGCCCGCAAATCGATGTTTCGCGGCGACCAAGAGGTCCCGGTAGGATGGAGGACGAGAACAACTGAAACCGACCCAACACTGGCCCCCAGACCACTTCCACTCCCAAGGTCCCTCCTAACTGGAGGGAACAAAGAGGACCATGGTGACCATGGCCAAGACTGAGCACGGGAACCTCGATGTCGATCTTGGTCATCGTCGGTTCTGGTCATCGTCGACTCGTGGATCGTGATCGTCCTCCCGAATCGGCCTCGGCCGACAAGAACCACAACCAAGACCGGCGTCGTCAAAAACCCGCGACGTTTTGATCCTGATCACCGAGTTTCCCTCGACGAACCCGTGCTGCGAGGGGGGCCCGCCGTGGTAGCGAGAATGGCTCAGAAAGGCACCCGGCCGAGGAGAACCGTGAAGACCCACACGCGGGGCGTGGGAACCTGGCCCTCCCGACCCCTGTCCTGATGACCCACCTGTCACCGACTCGGTTCTTGCAGCCGCCAGGAGTCTGGGGAGGAGGCCCCTGAGAGCCTGGCGTCTTGAGCAGGGACCGACCGCCCCGGCATTCCTATAGTCCTACCACGAAGTGTTCTTAGTACCCAAAAATGTTCTAAGAACAAAAATTATCCCAGTGCGACCCTACCTAGGAGTTGGAGCCCCTAGGAAAGCAGCATTAGTAGTAACAGTAAAGCTAAGCTAAAGCTAAGCTAAAGCTAAGCTAAAGCTAAGTCAAAGCTAAGCTAAAGCTAAGCTAAAGCTAAGCTAAAGCTAAGCTAAATCTAAGCTAAAGCTAAGCTACAGCTACGCTAAAGTTAAACTAAAGCTAAGCTAGAGCTAAGCTAGAACTAAGCTAAAGCTAAGCTAAAGCTAAGCTAAAGCTAAGCTAAAGCTAAGCTAAAGCTAAGCTAAAGCTGAGCTAAAGCTAAGCTAAAGCTGAGCTAAAGTTAAGCTAACGCTAAGCTAAAGCTAAGCTAAAGCTAAGCTACAGCTAAGCTGCAGGTAAGCTAAAGCTAAGCTAAAGCTAAGCTAACGCTAAGCTAAAGCTAAGCTACAGCTAAGCTAAATCTAAGCTAAACAAAGCTAAAGCTAAGCTGAATATAAGCTAACACTGAGCTAAATCTGAGCAACAGTTAAGCTAACGCTAAGCTAAAGCTAAGCTAAAGCTAAGCTAAATGTAAGCTGCATGTAAGCTAAAGCTAAGCTAAAGCTAAGCTAAAGCTAAGCTAAAGCTAAGCTAAGCTGAGATGAGCTAAACTAAAGCTAAATCTAAGCGAAGCTGAGCTAAAGCTAAGCTACAGTTAAGCGAAGCTAAGATGAAGCTAAGCTAAGCTAAGCTAAGATGAGTTCAGCAACGCTAAGCTAAAAGGCCGTACCTGGGGGAACCGCGGGGCGGGGACTGGGGGAACCGCCCGGGGCGATTTACACTGCCCGCCCCTTTAAGCTAAGAGAGTAAGAACCCTTCTAGGCAGAGCCTAGGTAGGGAACAATGTTCTTAGAACATAAACCCGATGTGATAAAACAAGACAGACTCCGCCAGAAATGTCTAAGAACATTTCGTGGAAACCACAAACGGTTCTTAGAACATTGTTTGGTGGGGCTATAGGCGAGCCAAGACGCTTCGCCACTGCGTGAGTCTCAAGCCTTTCGAGCTGGGCAAGGTCGCCCGGTTTTTTGGCCCTCACATATCGATCCGGCTCAAACGATGACCCAGAAGGATGGGGCCTGGGGCTCTGGCCTTGACTCTTCACGAGGTTGCAATTTTTGGCACGACGGACCTCAGGGATGGCAGGCTCCGTCGGCATCGCAGCGGGAGACCACATCGAACCGCAACCTGCGTCGGGTCGCATCGGGTTCGAACCGGACCGAGCTGGCCCGCATCGAGACCGTTCGGTCGGGCATGTCCTCCTACAGGCGGATGTTGGACGAAAAAATTCAGAGATATATAAAAAAAGTAGTCCAAATATAATCGAAAAATCGTCCCCGTACAATGTTTTGACTATCTTTGAACATCCCCCCTGTAGAGGGACAGACCCGACTTAACGATACCGCATCGGATCGACTCGGAATCCGGGTCAGTCAGGCTGGCTCTGCAGGATCCTGGGAGATCTGGCGCTCTGGCGGACCCCGGCCTATATTGACCCCCGTCCCTTGAGCCCCGACCGTTAAGAGTCCCGAAACGGTGCGGCGACAGACCGTGCGGTGACCTCGAACCCCCCCAAGACCTCACCGCACGGCCCGTCACCGCACGGCCTTGGGACCCCGGAGGCCCCTGCCGCCCGAGACTCGGGGGCCCCCAAACGGGGTGGTGACCACACCGTGTGATGAGTCGGTGGGGGTTCGGGGTCACCGCACGGTTTTGGGACTCGGGTCGTTCTCCGAGGATGTCTCGGGCGGTTGGGGCCTCCAGGGTCCCAAAACCGTGTGGTGACGGACCATGCGGTGAGGTCTTTGCGGACCTCGAGGTCGCCGCCGGGTCTGTCACCACACGGTTTTGGGACACCCAAGAGACCCCCGATCGATCGACTCGAGGGGCAGAGGCTCCGGGATGGCGGAGGGAGGGCAAGGGGGCCCCGGGCTGAGCCCCCCTGGCCAGCGCCCGGCGCCCCCCACCGCCCCGCCTGCTGCGCCTCCTGGGGGCGCTTCAGCTGCGCCAGCGCGTCCGCCAGCTGGCGAGGGGCCCGGCCGGGCGGGCGCAGGAGGCGGCTCCGCGTCCCTCCCCGCCTCCCTCGATCGCTGGCTGCCTCCTCCTCCTCCTCCTCCTCCTCCTCCTCCTCCTCCTCCTCCTCCTCCTCCTCCTCCTGCTCCTGCCTCCGCTCCCTCGACCGCTACCTCCTCCTCCTCGTCCTCCTCTCCCCCCTCGATCGCTCCCTCCGACGTCCCTCCTGCCCCCCCTCCCCCCCATGCCCACCCCTTCCTCCTCGGACGTCCCAAGGCAGTTCTCGGAGGAGTTCCAAGGGACCGTCCAGGGCGGGGCCTGAGGCACGGAGCAGGGCATCTGCAACCACGCTCTTCGCAGGCTGCTGGCGGAGGTGGAGCAAGCCAGGAGAACGACGTCTTGCTGGGTTGCTTCTAACTGCCACGGCCGCTGCAGCCTGGCCTCGTACGAGGCGTCAGACGAGATGCAAGCAGACGATGTGTCGCTGAAGTGCCATCGTTGTCCTAGATGGCAGGCTGAACATGGAACGAGCTTTCATCGAATATGAGCATATAATGGCAGGTCTGAGCATCCCAGTAATGACATGAGCGGTGAATTGTCGATCAACACTTTTTCCCCAGGCTGAATCGGAACCCTGCTTGGACCGTTGGTCTGCTGCCAGAAAGCTGGGTCGCCGTGCAGGACCCTCCTGTAGCCGAGCATTGGGCAACCACCAGCAATGATGAATTCACATCCTTAGGCAGTGGGTCTCAGCAGGCCCCACCTTGTCTTTGAGGATGATGCGAGTGGGTTCAAAAGAGACCCAGCACCCCAGACTCAGGCGTGGAGGACTCGGTCTCGCTGCATTCCAAGATCTTGATTCCCACATTGGCGATCTCTCTCGGGGCTCTGGGTACTCTCCATGGGCCGCGACAGACTTTTGCCAGAGGTGAACTTGTCTGTCTCTTGGCATGCCTGAAGCGTTCCATGGTTTTGTCATGTATGTCTCCGACAATGCTACGGTAAGCATAAGCTTGCATGAGAGGCAATGGCATTTCCCTGCTGGACCCGACGCCGCACTCCGGTGGCAGGTTGGCCAGGAGGTCCAGCGGCGAGGCATTGTGTCATGCAGTGTGATGTGCCCTCCCACCTTGAGGCGAGACACATCGTGATGGCCCAAGCCCCTCGGTTACTTGTCCATGGTGACGCCAGAGGTGATGCTTTGATGCGGCTGAGGCGGCCAGGCTGGCCCGCCTCTCTGAGAGCACACGTGCATGAGTAGAGCAGGCTGAACTTATGGCTTTCGCAGTCCGCATGCCTACGCTCCAGAGTACCCTTGAAGCCATCCGAGCTGAAGAGGAGTTGCGCACAGCTGAGGGGGGAAAATGTATGCGTAGGCAAACAGTTTCATAAGCTGCGCGGCCCCCAGCGGCCAGTGTGCGTGTGCTCTATTCTCTAGGCACCATAATTCAGAGGACGACTCTAAGAGCTGTTCAAGGTTTCAAGGCTCTGGTTCCCTAGCTACCAAACGCTTCTGGCTAGAACGCCATTGTGCTGAACTAACCAACGTGGAAGAATTAACACGATGCCCCCTCCTGGACTCAAGCTTCACACTTCTGGGGGGTCAATCATGCGTCCCATCTTCCCATGTTTCATGCTGGGCTGGGTCTTCGGTATTGCTCCTCGTGTGGCTGTTCCGTTGCATGTGACCTACGGATCGGGGCACCTGCTAGTTTGCCAAGGAGGCGCCGCGGCAAGAAATAACAACATACCTAGCTGCCGCTTTCGTCACCGACGTTGCCGCCACACCGGTAACTCCGCAACTCCCACACCCCACTCCCTCTGCACCTCTGGACCCAAATACGTGGGGCCAGGAAACAAAGTGACGGTCGGCGTCTCGCCATTCGGGGCCTCAAGCTACTGGCTTCGGGGCCAGCGTGGCCGTCAAGCCACGCAAAGCTTCACCACAGGACAGTACAAACAAGAGGAGGATCGAGGAACACAACAAAATCCCAACCATGCTCAAGTGGCAAGTTGCAGCATCATAAGTCAAACATGTGTTTATCTCATGCTCGGCTGCGTTTCTAGATGTTTCCCAGGAGTGGCCGAGGGTCATATTGTCCGATGTTTTCTTCTCTGCATCGAAGATGGCGAGGGATGATTATGAAGGTGACGGCGAGAATGCGACGTGAGAACATCATGGAGAGAAATTGGGAATGAACGAATAGGAGTAGCGGGAGGACGCGTAGCGTGGAGGAGAGACAGAGAGATGAGAAGGGTGAAGGAGGGGGTAGGAATGGGGCAAGGGGGGCGGCGGGGGGGAAAGGAGGAACGATGGAGAGTATCTTGGATGATCCAGGTCTGTGCTGCAAGGCCAAGCGCGCCAGCAGCATCAGAGATAGATTTGCAACTCGTAATTCTACAACGCACACTGCGCCACGGAATTAGCATCGACGATAACAACATTGAATCCACATCGGTGGCGATCATACCTGCGCCCAGAACAACTTTGCGATGGCGGAGGCGCTCCGTTCTAGGCTGTGCTGCTGGAGCCAAGCGCAATCTCGAAACCTGTACACAATAAGGGCTGTGATAATGCACTGGGTACCCGCCATATCCAACACACGCCAATCCAACGATTTGTCTGGAATATGTCCGACACAAGTGTGCATACATGTGCTCGAAAATATCACAGGCCCGCACGCGGATGGGTCACTGCACAATAATGTTCCCCCCACCACATCTCCCTTGAAATTGGCACGCTGTCAACATGTAACCAGTATGTGCTGGACAACTTTCATCGCCATAATTGTTCCGATGAACGGCGGCCATGCGCACCGTCCACCTCAAGATCTCACTATCGATCTCACCACAGATCTCACTATCGATCTCACTATCGATCTCACTATCGATCTCACTATCGCGCCACCGATGGGGCACCCCCCGCCACCGACGGGGTATGGATCGCACAATCGGTCTCACGATCGATCTCAATATTTACTTCAATATTGATCTCACTGTCAATCCCCATATCGATCTCACTATCACGCCACCGACGGGGCATCCCCGCCACCGACGGGGCACCCCCGCACCTCCGACGGGGCACCCCCGCACCACTGGTGGAGAACCACCGCACCACCGACGGGGGCCCCCCGCACCACAGGCGGGGCACCCTGGGCCACCGCGGCATCATTCCTGTCGCGCGCCCACGCAGCTTCGCCTCACCCACACGCACGGCACGAACACAAAACCGACATCGATTTCCCGGTTGGGGGCTCTCCGTCCCACTGCGATCTCATCTCCCAGCCTCCGCCTCCGATACATGGCCCTCTGCTAGGGTGCGTTAAATTCGGGAGAATGCAGCAGTGGGGACGAGGTCTCTCCAGGACAGGCAGTGGTATCAGGAAAGGACGGCTTTACATCCTAAGTCGTTTTGTCTGGCAGGGACCCGCCCCCAGAGGCAGAAAACGCAGAAAACCGGCCGTCTCTATGTTTTCCTCTCCTGCTGTCCGTTCTGACCACAATTCTGAAGCGAATCGAGCCGTGGCGGCGAAGGCCCACCAAAAGGCCCCAAAAAAGCAGAAACGAAGGAAGGGTACCGGTCTCGAGAGGGCGTCGTCGTCGTCGTCGCTGCGGGGAGGCCCACCGCCAAGTAAGGCTGCGGCTGCGAAGCCCGCAGCTTCGCGGCGACCTCGGCGTCCGCCAACGCCTTCTCGGCCTGACGGCGGCTGCCGGAGGCCGAGCCAAACCGTCGTCGTCGTCGTCGACAAAGACGACGCCGAAGATGACGTTAACGACGAAGTCGACGACGACGGCGAAGTTGACGACGAAGAGTTTGAGGATCTGCTCCTGCTGCTCCCCCACCCTCTCCTTGGTCATTGTCATCCTCCTCCTCCCCCTCTTCCTCCACCTCCTCTTCCTCGTCCTCCTCCTCCTTCTCATCATCAGCATGTCCATCATCATCAGCAGCATGTTCATCATCATCATCATCATCATCATCATCATCATCATCATCATCATCATCATCATCATCATCATCATCATCATCATCATCGCCATCACCATCGCCATCGCCATCGCCATCGCCATCGTCATCATCATCATCATCATCATCATCACCATCATCATCATCAGCAGCATCATCAGCATCATCATCATCATCATCATCATCAGCATCATCATCATCATCACCATCATCATCGTCATCATCATCAGCATCATCAGCATCATCAGCATCATCAGCATCATCAGCATCATCAGCATCATCATCATCAGCATCAGCATCCTGATCATCATCATCATCAGCATCAGCATCAGCATCAGCATCAGCATCATCATCATTATCATCATCATCATCATCATCACCATCATCATCATCATCATCATCATCATCATCATCATCATCATCATCACCAACATCATCCTCGCCCTACTCGTCGTCCTCGTCCTCCTGTTCACTCTGTGGGTCCCCCTCCTCCTATTCCTACTCTTCCTCACCCGCGCCCTCACCCCGTCGACTCATCTCTCTTGTGTTGTATCCTGCTGCGCCACAATCGGCCTCCCTCCCTCGCCGCGTTCGCCTGCGAAGAGACAAGAGGAGCGCGGCGCCCCCCCAACTCAAGGTGGAGGTCTGTCACCCTGCAACCGAGGCCGCGCTGACGGCGTGCTTGGTTAACGGTGCGATTGGGAATATTGATTTTGTGACACCGAGCTCACGCAAAACATCATGTAGGAAATCACGAAACACCGTTTCCTAAATTTCAGATGTGCGAATGTATCGAGCGAAAACGACGCAGCGAGTTGTAGGAAAACACGATCCACGATGTCCTACAATTGGTTTGGCCACGAACCAGTCCCACCTAAAATGCCGAACCCTAACATTGCCGTTAGCGCGTCTACGGAACCCGGCAGGGCGTTCGGGAACGCACGCCCACAGTACCTGGCCCACGTACGGCAGGCTGGTGTCGTGACGACCCCGGCGCTGGTTTCTGACACCGCGTGGATCGTTCCACCTTGCACGATCGGCGGCTTTTCGATCGCCCGATCGTTCTATACAGGCCGACTCTGGGCCACTGGCGGCGTTCGACCTCGAACGCCCGCGGCGGGGTCGCCGCCGGTCGACACGACGCGAACCCACCGTATAGCGCCTGTGCTGCGGGGCCCTGCCCTGCCAGAATACCGCATCCACCGGCGTGCGCCCGTCGCCCCTCGCAGGGACTCCCTCTCTCGCGTGCGCCGGCAAGCTCCCGATAGAGCTCCTACGGTACAGTCAGAGCTGAGAGCGAGGATGCGCGATGCATCAGGGGCCCTTCCACGAGAAGCCGTCCACAAGAAACCCCACCCTGAGACCCCAGGACGTCCACCGATTTTGGGTGTGGGATCGTCGCGCGTTCCATCGCAAAACCATCGAAACCCAAGCAACCCAGGGCACCCTGGAGGCAGGCAGGGTGATTCTTGGCATGGGCCTCCACTGTAAGGATGCAAGCCCCTTGGACGCCCATGTCGAAGCTTTGCGAGCGGGGCTGGCCATCGAGAGTGGTTAAGGATGGACCGAAGCGGCAAGGACGCAAGGGTAACCCTTGGGAAGGTTAATTACCCATCCGTATCATCGGTGTCGACTGTACCCCAGCACGCCGCTAGGACGTGAAGCTCAGCGCAGCATGCTCGGCACCGCAGCAGCTGCAAGGGTGTCTCACCTAGTCCAAACACCTGGTAAGGCGTGCGTCTCTACATCGCGCGAAGAATAGACGGCAACAGAACTGAGCGATACGTCGCACCGAGGGCGGGAGTAATAATACATCGTTCGCCAACGGGAGCGCTGATCCCCCCCCGAGAGAGAGATAGAGAGAGAGAGAGATAGGACGGGCGGGGGGGCCCTCCCTGTGTCATTCTGGATGGATGGGGGCAGGGCGAACCGTCTCACGCCACCCGTATTCCAAGCGCCTCCGAGCGCCGGAGGCGCCAGCCCAGACAGGCCCGCGGCGTGGAAAAACGTGAGCGTTTTCTTTTTCGGCGTTTCGACATTGGGCGGAAGGGGGGGGGGGAGGAGGGGTCTGGATCCGGACCTCTGCTTAATGCGACTGTTTGCAACAGTGCGTCCTGTGGGGGTGACCCCACCTGCTCGAAACAGGCGCAGAAACAGCCAAGATCTACTCCATGGGGGGGGGAGGGGGGGTGGTGCGAGGGCCCGCGCCGAGCGGCAAAACAATGAATAAGACAAAGATCACAACTCACGACGGGAAATGTTCGGCTGTCTTCGGCCTCCAGGGGCCCTCGCCAGGCCTCGGCGAGCGTCAGACGTTCTTCGGGATGGGCAGCCTGCCCTTCGGCCGGGTGGCAATAGGGGGTGCCCTACATGGAGAGGTGAAGGACCCTCAAGGGGCCTCTCCAGGGCCCTTTTCCTGACCCCCCATTCCGAGCAGATGGGGTCGAAGGATCGCGCCGACGTCGGCGACGCATCGGCGACGTCGGCGTGGAGAAAGTCGTCGGCGATGCGGCGCGATCCTCCATCTAGGAGGCCCAGACTCTAGACTCTAGACATTGCCATCCGCCCGAGGGCAAGGGTCGGGACTTTCCGGGGGCCGCGTATGGAAAAGCACAGGGCATCAAACGCCTAAGAGCGTGTAAACGTCGTGAAGAGCGACAGGCAGCGGCGCCAAAACCGGCTGGCGGGCAGCATACCTCGACCCCACCGGCACCCCTCCTCCCAGTCCCTGAGGAGGCCCAAGGACGCACGCATAAATATACACGAATCCCATGAGTCCCCATACTTTTTATATTTCCTGGATGTTTGTCTCCCATATTTCCCGCATCTCCTGGGGATCGACTCGACGATGATTTGCGTCTATGTGCCCCTTTGCCACAAGCATCCCCCCCCATTCTCGTCGGCGCCGAAGCCGGCTTCACGCAGCAACCTGCGCAGCCCCCCCCCTTCCCCCGAGTCTCCTTCCCGACCAGCCACAACTGAAGGGGAGCCGTGGCCCTCACCCCCCTGGGGGAACCCATCGCATCGACGATCTCTCGAGAGGGGTGTCGAAATCGATGGGACGGGAAAATGACCACAGCCACTGCTTCTTGTTTGCGCCGCCTTCCAGCCGGCCGAAAAAGAAGCAGTGGTTGTGGTCTTTTCCCTGGTGCCATGCTCCACGAAAATGGCCACAACCACTGCTTTGTTCCTGCGGGCTGGAAGGCGGCAACAAAAGAAAAGCAGTGGCTGTGGTCGTTTTCACGCCCCGTAGGTAAGGACCACAGCTCCCCCGGTCGTTGCTGGCCTGCCTTCCCCTCTCTGAGGTCCATATCCGAGCGCCGTCGCGCGCGAGCGCATATCCCCTGCGAGGCCCGGGCGTCGCAGCCCTCACGTCGTGTCTCTCTTCGCCCCGCTCTCTCGTCGGGCCCCGCGGGGCCCTCACAGTAGGGGGGCCACACGCGAACCCTACCCCTACCCCCCACGAGGGGGCCACACGCCCCGTAGGTAAGAACCACCACAGCTCCCCCGGTTGTGGCTGGCCTGCCTTCCCCTCTCTCTGGTCCATATCCGAGCGCTGCCGCGCGCGAGCGCATATCCCCTGCGAGGCCTGGGCATCGCAGCTGTCGCGTCCTGCGCGCCGGGCCTCTCTCTTCGCCCGGCTCTCGTCGGGCCCCGCGGGGCGGGGGGCCACACGCGAACCCTGCCCCTACCCCCCACGATTTCTGAAGGGAGAGGGTGGGGTTCACTTCGCTCGGGAAATCGTGGGGGGTAGGGGTAGGGTTCGCATGTGGCCCCCTACACAGGTCGACCTGGCTCGAGAAGTGCCACAGAACGAGTGCAGGTTGAGCAGAAACCGACCGTCCCGGCATTCCTGTAGGCCTACCACGACGTGTTCGCAGAGCCAGAATAATGTTCGAACAGCATAGACCACGTTCTTATTTTGTTAGAACAAGACAGCCCCAGCCAGACATGTCCTAAGAGCATTTCGATGAAACCACGAAAGGTTCTTAGAACATTGTTTGGTAGGCCTATAGGCACGCCGCGATGCTTCGCCACAGCTTGAAAATGAACAAGAACCTGCGTAAACATAAGCTGTTGCACCGTTGGAGGTCCGCACGGAGCCCAAGAAACGTTTGTTTGCAGGGATCCGACCGCGATTTTCACCATGCTGCATTCTTTTCGCGACGTCGGATCTTAGGCTCCTGCGCCCCCCCGAGGTACGGGGAGACGTTGGGGGGGAACCGGCTCAAGGAGGGAAGCATCAAGCTGGCATTGGCGATACATCGCCGCGACAGATCGGCGATGGACCCCCGATACCGCGCACGCTACTAAACGAGACGGGGCTATCGGTCCCCTTTCGGCGATGCATGGGCGATTGGGGGTCGATGCATCCCCCTCTGAGCCCATCTCCCCCCTCACTTGGCAGCGCGCACAAGGGGGTGGGGGGAAGGGGAGGGCTCCTTAGAAGCAAGCTGCTTCTTAGAAGGCGCCGGCCGTACATCTATAGGTAAGGCCCGCGCCTTCTAAGAAGCAGGGGTGCTTCTGAGAAGCCCTCCCCCCTCCCCTCCCCCCACACCCCCTTCTGCGCGTGGCTGATGTTAGGGGAACAGAAAGTGGCATACACATAAAAAACTCGGAGGTCCGCGCGGATTCCTCGGATCGGCGCTGGGGACCACCGCGGCGCCTCCGGCGCCGCCCCTGGCCTTCGGCCCCCTGGTTGCCCTCGCGTGGCTTGCTCGCGCTGCCCTCCGGTTCAAACAGGGCTAGGATTGGGATAAATCGCTCCAGAGCGTTCCGGAGCGCTCTCAGAGCGTTCCGGAACGCTCTGGAGCGGCCGCGGCGCCCAATACATCCTCCAAACCCGCCGATTCTCAGAGACTTCGAGTTATCCCGAGCCGATGCTGTCCCGCTCTTCGCGTCGTTTGACCGGTCCTCGGCCCCAGAGCCCCGGGCCTCGCGCAGCCGCTCGAGGCGGTTTCGGATTCGGGGCGCCCCCCCGCAGGCCGGTCTCCTCGGCGAGGCGAGGCCGGCGGGGGGCTCCCTCCCCGAGGCGGCTCTCGGACGCCTCCGAGAGGCTCCGATCGAGCTGCGAGGGCCCCGGGCACCTCGAGAGCTCGGGGGGGGGCGAGAGGGGGGATGGCGAAGGGTAGGGCAGAGACTCGGCTCACGCAGCGGATTCTCCCGGCGCCTCCCGGCGCGGGGAGGCGCCCGTGTCTCGAGGAGTGGGCCCCGCGGCGGGGCCGAAACCGGCTGCATGCAGCAGATGTCGTACCCCCCCCCTTCCTCTATCCCCCCCTTTCGTCCGGCCCGAGAAAACCTGGAGGCTGTACACGTTTCTCTCCCATGCAAACAAATGAACACCGCACTGCCCATCCTCAGCGGCCAGGCGATACACAGAGAGTCGCCAGGCAAACCGAGTGTGCACAACCCACGAGCCGACCTGCGAGAGGGAAAAGCTCCTGAGCCTGCACGGTGCACCCGTCGGGGGCGCGCAAACATGGAGTAGCGATCCATGGATTTGGCGCGCGGTTGCCAAATCCACGGATCGGGGGCGGTGCCCTCCCCAAAATGCGGCCGGTGCCGCCTCGATCGGCGGCGGAACTATGCGATTTCCCATGGACACGGGACCCGTTGCTAATCCACGCCCCCTTGATCCATGTTTGCGATCGCCTGAACCCGATGCCTCGCTGCCGCGGCGTCACATCCCAAGGCCTGGCGAAGCCTCCCGAAGGCCCGCCCGGAGGGAGGGCCCGAAGGCGCGCGGCCCGCGCGGGCGGGGGCCGGGGGGCCTCGGACTTGAGGAGGGCCCTGGAGCGCAGCACCAGCAGCTGGCTGGACTGCTTCGCGTTCTTGTCGATGGCCCTCCAGGGGCGGCGAGGCGACCCCGGGCGCCGCGCCGCGCCCAATGGGGGCAGCCCGCGGACATCCGTCGGCCAACCATCGAGGCGGCGCAACGTCTGTCCTGCATCTCGGGGCACAAGCAGTGGCACGAACACGCAACAACTCGGAGGCCCGCGCGGGTTCTTCGCATCGGCGCCGGGCACGCGCCGCGAGGGGGGGGCTCCAGCGCCGATCCGAGAGATCCGCGCGGACCTCCGAGCGGTTGTGCCCACGTCACTGCTTGTTCGCCTCGGGTCGTCGGCCCCTGGCAGAGCTGGTTCTGGTCCCCGGGGCTGTCGTGCACCCACTCGGGATGACAGACGGGCCCCAGGGAGCGGCCGAGAGGCTTGCGGGCCCATGTGGCGAGGCGGGGATGGGATGTACCACAACCGCGTACCACAACCAGCGCCTGGGTGTAAGTCGGGCGTGTCCCTCTACAGGGGGAATATTCAACAAATAATATGTAAATACTCTGGGGACGAACGTGGAATATGTTTGAATATTGTTTGATTATTTGTTGGCCATTTTTTGTGTCGTTCACAATCCGCCTGTAGGAGGACACGCCCGACCTAAGCCTGGGTGATCGATCTTCGCGGCCCTCGGCAGGCGGTGGATCTGGACATGCTTGCCCTCCCCGCCCCAAGGCCGAGTTCGGGCACGCGCTGGCATGGACAGAAGATCCGTACATCTGGCGTACGGGCGCCACATCCACGGATCGGGTTATGTTGCTCCCATCGTACTTGAGGACCACATCCAAGAAATAATCTCGAGCACCGGGAAAAGTGTCGAAAGAGTGTCGAAACAGTGTCGGACGAATGCCTCCCTGGGCCCGGCACGTAAAAGCCCTCGAGCTTCGGTACTTTTGGGTGCTCGAAATTCTTCCTGGTGGTCAGAGCTCAAGTAGGTTGGAACACCATAAGGATCGGGGAGCATTGAAGGGGCCCTGGGACACACAAATAAATACACACAAATAAACATATTCCCCATATTTTCCTATATTTTCTGGGTTTTTGTCTTCCCCACCACTTCCCATATTTTCCCCACATTTTCTGGGGAATGGAGGATTAAGTGTGTCTGTGTGTTTCTTTCCCTCCTGAAAGTTCCCCGTGTCCACCGCCTGCCGAGGTCTCCGAAGATCGGGGAGGGACGGAGCCCCCTGTCGTAAAACTCGGGGGGGAGCGAAGGGGGGGACAGCAAAGGGTAGGGTAGAGACTCAGCTCACGCAGCTGATTCTCCCAGCGCCTCCCGGCGCCGGGGGGCGCCCGTGTATCGAGGAAGGGGCTGTGCGGCGGGGCCGAAACCAGCTGCATGCATGCAGCAGATTTCGTAGCCCCCCTTTCCCTATCCCCCCCCCCCTTTCGTTCGGCCCGAAAAACGTGGTTTAGTGAAAACGACCTCGGGCTCAAGCCTGGCGGGCGCAAGCCTGGAGACTGACGGCCGCGGCGCCCTCTCGAGAACCGAACACGGACAATTCACGAATCGACGTGTCCGGGTTAAGTCGGGCGTGTCCCCCTTCAGGGGGGGGGTGGACGAAAAATAGAAACTACGCAAAAGAAATCAAAAGTACTCAAACATAATTTCTTAAAAATCGTTCCCAGACTATGCTTTTACTATTTTTGAGCATTCCTCCTGAAGAGGGACACGCCCGATTCAATGTCAGGGTGGGGTTTCTGTCCACTCCCGAGAAGATCCATTCCCCTGGCGGTGGTCATGGATGATGAGCGTTTTTTTACTCGGCGTTTCGACGTTGGGCGGAAAGGGGAAGGGGCGGGGATCTGGCTCCAGACCTCTGCTTAGTGCGACCGTTTGCAACCGTGCGTCCTCTGTGGGAGAGGCTCCACCTGCTCGAAACGGGCGCCAACGAAAACAGCCAAGACCTACTCCACGGGGGGGGGGAGGCGGCGGTGCGAGGGCCCGCGCCGATCGGCAAAAGAATGAATGAACAGACGCTCCCATGCAGCCCCGCCTCCGACGTGCCTCGAGAGCAGGCCGAGCCGCCGGACGCCTTGGAGGGGGGCGAGGACGGGGCGGCCCCGCGGGGAAGCACCGGGGGGGGGGGCCTCCGGAAGAGGGGCCCCGGCCCCGGGCCGGGCTCGTGGGCGACAAAACGCCTCCACATCCGCGGCCTCGCGGGCCGGGCCCCTGGGCCGCGTTCCCGCCGTCCCGAGCCGCCTGGGGGGCCGATATGGTCCAGAGAGCCCGCTTCGCTTGCCTGGGGCTCCTCCGCAACCTTCCTTGGAACTCTATCCCCGGCGCCCTCGGGAAGACGGAACGCGCCCCACCCTCTGGGCACTCGCCTGCACTCTCCTGCACAGGCCGTGTCTGTCGCGGCTGCGCCCCGCGGCACGCCTCCGCGCGACCGCTGGAGGGCGCGCCCCTCGGAGCCCCGGCCGCGAAGGGGCGCGGATGCGGACGTGCCCGCCGCTCTCTCTCGTCGCCCAGGAGGCGCCCCGCCGCAGGCGCAGGACCGCCCGCGCCCCTGGATGCCTGCACTGCTCGCCCCTGGGCCACCAGCCGGGCGGCTGACCAAAGGAACCCTAGAGAAGGAACGAGGCCCCCCTTTCCCATAAGTGAAACTTCGATTTCCCATGGAGGGCCTCAGGAAGACCCAAGGCAAACTGTAGAACAATCAAGGAACACCGAGCCCCTCCTCAACGAGAAGGGTTCCTTGTTCAGCGCCCCCACAGCACACGTCGGTCGGAAGACGTGGATAGAAACAGGAGGCAGGAAGACGCTGAAGGCAGGCTGGATGCCTGTCCGCCCCCCTGAAGAAGCAGGAGAAGGAACAAGCACGCGACGATTGAAGTGTAGGATGGCACCTAAAGAAAAGTGAAATCTGGGGATCCCAGATACCCTACTTTGAACGACCGACGGGTACTACAGGGGCACACGCAATGGCATGAACCTAAAAACTCGGACGACCGCTCCGACTTGTCGCATCGGCGCTGGCCCCCCCCCCTGGCGCATATCTTTTACGTGAATGGCATTGTTCGTTTCCCAACATACTCGCCCACATCGTAAGACGAAGCCAGGACGAGGATAAAATCGGGTTAGGGTGAATTTAGAATCTCTGACATCTGGCGGATCTGGATTTCTCGGGCGCCGCGGCCTTCTCAGCGCGTTGGGGGACGCTCCGAGAGCGCTCCAGAACGCTCCAGAGCGGCTCGATCCTCGTCCTAACCCTGATCCTCGTCGTCTGGCCTTCGGATCACAACTCGGGACTCTGGCGGCCGCCCAGGACGATCCCGCCACCTCGGCAGGCGTCTCGGCGAGGCGCCGCTGCTGCAGAGCGCCTCGAAGCTGGAAGACTGCCAAGGCCCAACGAAAAGCCACCGAAACCTCGCACCCCGACCCTCGGACCGGGCATTCGGGAGGAGCGCCGCGGCGGACGCGACGAACCCCTCCTCACCACGTCCGGCATCGTCGCCCCCGGAGCCGCTCTTGGCGGCGAGCGCGGGGGGGAAGTGCGAAGGGGCGGGCCTTCTCAGAAGGCTCGGAGGCCCCCCGGCCTTCGGAGAGGTCTTCGAAGCCTTCCCCAGAAGACGCAGAACGCTTCCCGGAGGGCGCGAGGGCTTCTGAGTCCCGCCGCCTTCTGCGATGGCCTTCTCCTGCTCGCTCGCGCCCCTCCCCCCGCGCGCCGCCGACTGCTGCTCGGAGCTCCGCACACATCGGGGGCGGCCAAGAGGGGGGCGTCCGAAAGGTGGGGGGGGGCGCAAATCATGGCCGGCGGCACGTGCGCGGCCGGGGGGGGGGGCAGGGGCGGAATGAAATATGAAGAGGCACCATGACATCTGGGGAGATATCATGGCCCCCGCCATGATACCCAATCCTTCCTAGTCTTAGGTCGGGCGCGTCCTCGTGATTACAAGCGGATTTTGGACGAAAAACCCAAGAATCCAAAAATGCTCCCCAAAATACCACAAAGATCGTCCCCAGACTATTGTTTTACTATTTTCCAATGTCCCTCCTGTAGAGGACGTGCCCGACGTAACCCTAGTCATCACCCCCCTTTGCCGCCCCCGAACACAGATCTGCCGGACTCCCCCCCCCGTGGCTCGGCGGCGACGGCAGGAGCGAACAGCTCAGGGGCGGACACAACACGCATTCGCCCGGGAGCCTCGCCGAGGGCATGAGTCCTGGGCGCCCCTGGATACATGCATTGCTCCAGGCCTCGGACAAAAATAGCGAACACTCATGCCACATTCATCTGTGAACGCCTCCCCCTCCCCCCAATGTTCAAAGTTGGCGCTGGGTCTGATGAGTTGCATCTCGACCGCAATCTCCCCCGCGCGTGCCAACCTTGAGTTTGGGGGGCAAGGGGGGTGTTCACTAATTGCTTCCCTCTACCGTCTCCCCATGGACTATTCGCCCCCACATCGTCGCCTCTGATCTTGGCCGCCCAAGAACACAGATCTGCCCGACCTCCCCCCCCCCCCCCCGTGGCGGGCGCGGCGCGCGCGCGCGCCCCCGGGCGCGGGGGCCGAGGAGGGAGGGGGGGGGCCTCTGCTCGCCGCCTAGGGCCTCGAAGGCCTCCGCGATCTTGGCCAGCTTGCCCTGCCGGCTCTCGGAGGGGGAGGGGGGGCGGTGCCCCTTGCACAGGCAGGGCTGACAGCACGGACGCGCGACGAGGAGGGGGAGGAGGAGGAGGAGGAGGAGGAGGAGGAGGAGGAGGAGGAGGAGGAGGAGGAGGAGGAGGTGGAGGAGGAGGAGGAGGAGGAGGAGGAGGAGGAGGAGGAGGAGGAGGAGGAGGAACTCCTCAGGGTCGACGGAACCAGCCGCAAAGCCCCTGAACTATGCGAACAGAGCCGAGCAACCATGCCTCAGTGAGGCGTGGGCTGGTAGAACCGCCTGCCTGGCAGGTCGCCCCCTCTGTGAAGCTGCCTCGAGCCTCGCACCGTGGCGCGCGTGCCCCTGCTTCTTCTTTTTCGCGACGCTGCGCACTGCCGTGGAGGGCAGACGCACGGCGCAGGGTTCGGATGTCGTCACCGATCAGCCCTCACGCCCGTCCTTTTCCTGAAGCAGCGGCGGGTCGAAATCGATTCCCGTACTGCCCTTGCCCGTCCTGGAGCGCGTGGAGCGAAGCCAGGAAGAGCACACCATCGGATTGGGAAAGATCAGGGATCTCTGAGATGCGGCGGCTCTGAAGGACGTGTCGGGCGCCGCGGCCGCCTCTCGGAGTATCCCGGAACGCTCTGGACGAGTTTTTGTTTTGGGGGGGGGCCTGCCGCGGGGTGGCGGCGTGCCGCGTATGCAAAGCCACACTGCTACCTGACAAGTTACGTGATGGGCCCCCCTCCCAAACTGTCCTCCAGCCCAAGTGGCTAGCGAGGTGCTGCATCGTGCTCCTGGGCCTGACTGATCACGCCTTCGCCAGGACTCCGATGTGCGGATCCACTCGCGGCGGCCAGGGCCGCCTCGGAGCCCGGACGGAGCAAGCCGACATCAGAGCCTCCTGCGTGCGACCGCGGGGCCAGGAGAAGGTGAGGGGCCGCGGCGGCGGGGCCTCGGTGGTCTCCTGCCGCCGCGAGTCGAACTTGAGCTGCGCCACCTCCAGGGTCGTCGTCGTCGTCGTCGTCGTCGTCGTCGTCGTCGTCGTCGTCGTCGTCGTCGTCGTCGTCGTCATGGTCGTTGTCGTCGTGGCTATCGTGGTCGCGGTCGCGGTCGTCGTGGCACCAGCCTCGGAGAACCGTCGCGCATGGCACAAACGGACACCTACAGAGGTCGGGGTACGAGTGGGTCCAACACGGCCGCCTGCTGATACTACTCCGAAAGAGCCTCACCACAAAGGATCCGAACAAGTCGGCGAGGACAGGACAAGCCAGCGACACGCAACACCGACTGAGCATCGCTGCGTTGGCAGAGCCACAGACTGTCTCGCAACCGCAAGCAAGGCCGAGGGTACAAAGCCGAGGACGAGGGAAAATGGCCACAAGGTCATCGCGACCGTCTAGCGCCATGCGAGCACGGCGCCAGCGGTGGGGCACATCGAAACACGCTGCGTGGAAACGGAGTGCTATCCGCCTTACCCCGCACCCACGTCAAACTAGACTCGCGGGTAGCTCATCCCTGGCACGTGCTGTTGCAATTATGTTCGTCCCGTTCGCCCAAACGCAAGGCAACGACGGACGAGGAGAAACAGGGCAATCATCTTCAGCATTCGGGCTCAGGCCCCAGATTCTACGAATTAGAAATGGCAAAGACCACAGCCGCACACTCATCCGCCTTGGTCCCTAAGTTCGCGAAAAGATGCGTGGTCCGAATGCGATCCGCCACCTGTGGCACAACCTTCCTGCAGCTCCTCGCCAGTTGTTCCCGCCACGGGAGCGGCGCAGTCAGGCCCCCGAGCTCGGCGTCGAGCTCGGCGTCACTGGACGGCCAGGACGCAGCTGTGGGGGAGGATCAACTCCAGCAGGCACCACTTAGCCATCTACACGCACACCAAGCGCTACCTGCCCACCAGCTGGCTGTCATTGAGAGCATCTGCGAGGGGAGGTGCGCGCTCCCGACCTCAGGCTGCTGCGCGATAACTGGTGCCCATTCCTTTCGCACGCGTGGCATCGTGCATGATCCAGCAGCCTGCAGCAACTGCCTGGTGAGCACGCGGCGCAAGAGCAGGAGGGGCTAACTGCACGGGGCCACGTACGCACACCGGTTGCGCAGAGCCACTGGCATCAGGTCGGGCATGTCCTCCTGCAGGCGGACCTTGGACGAAACAGTACAAATAGTCAAAACATGTTCCCAAAATGCCAGAAACAGTACCAGGCAAATCCTCCCCAGACTGTGCTCTGACTGTCTGTGATCATGCCCGACAACCCACTGGCAAGCACTCACACAGGCAGCATGACCAGCGCGGCACCGGCGCCGGGCGGCACGCGATGCCGGGGCCTGGGCCGCTCCTCTCGGGCAGCACGGCAGCATCGCGGGCGCTCGCGCGGCACCCGCGGGCGGGCTCTGCGCTGGGGGCCGGGCGGGGCGCGAAGCAGGACGGTGCCCGCCAGGCTTAGGTCGGGCATGTCCCCCTACAGTTGGGGCGTTGACCTAAGGAGCGATAATTAAGGAACGAGGCCCCTTTTTCCCATCAGTTGAACTTCGATTCCCCATCGAGAATCAGAGGAAAACCTAAGGATGACCGTACAACAACTGAGGAACACGGAGCCTCTCCCCAACGAAAAAGGTTCCTTCTTCAGTGCCCGGACTGTGCAGGCGGATTTTGGACGAAAAATGAAAGATAGTCAAAACAAACTCAAAAATACTCAAAACTAGTGAAAAAATCGTCCCCGAACTATTTTAAAACTATGTTTGAATCTTCCTCCTGTAGAGGGACGTGCCCGACTGAATGCCAGGCTTGAGCACCAAGCCTGTCGTGGTCGTCGTCGCAGTCGTGATCGTGGTCGGCGGGGTCGTCGCGGTCGGCTTCGTCACGGCCCTCGTCCTCGTCCTCGCCGTCCCTCCCTCTTTCAGGCGTTTGTCGCCTCCCTCCCCCTCCGCCCTCTCGGAGGAGGGAGGGAGGCAGGGTGAGCGAAGAGAAGATGGGGGAATGCTGCCATTGCTGCACTGTGCCGCTCACACACACACACATACTGGTCTAGAATGGTGCCGTTAGGGCGGGTGCGGGGAACCTGCTTGTTCCACGATCAAGCGCGCAACACAGTGCACAGTGCCACATTATAGTGCACACTGAACATGCTCAGCAAGGTTATCGCGCGCACAACGACACCATCGCAAGCCGAACGAATACGCCTTCCTCAAGGACGCCATCACGTCTGCTCAGCACGCGCTCGCAATTTGCACAAAATTCCGTTGTCCCCCCCTGTTCCTGCGGCAGGACCTCTCTGGGACGGCGTGAGCCCTGGCTCCTGCCACCCCGGCCACCGTGTGGACACCATGAATGAACCCCGCTGCTGGGGTCCCCCCACAGACCGCCGAACCCATCCTTGCCATGAACTTCGTCCCAGTGGCTTGATGGTCTGCGGGTCTGCGCATCCGCTTTCCCTATTCTTCGCGGCGCGCACAAGTGGGTAGGGGGGAAGGGGAAAACTTCCTAAAAAGAAGCTGATTCTTAGAAGGCGCCGGCCTTACATCGGTTACTAAAGCTCGCGCCTTTTAAGAGGCAGGCTCGTTCCTAAGAAGCCTTCCCCACTCCCCCTGCCCCCGTTCTGCGCGTGGCCAATATTCAGTCTCGGTATTGGGCTCTCGCTTACGAGCGCGTTTTTTATTCGCGGCCGTAACGTGCGTTATGGGGGGGAGGGCGGGGGGGGGGACGGGAGGGAGCATAACTTAGCTCCCCCCCCCAGCAGACTGTGGTGCCGGACGCACTGCGGCAGGGCCAGGGACGCACTGAGGGGGGAGCGATACATTATGGGGGGGGTAAGGGGGCATGACTCGCATTATGGTGCAGAGGGTTCTCTTACCTTGCACAACTCCTGCCCAGAGCTGGGCCGCCACACCGCTCACGAACACCTTCCAGGCCGGAATGTGCCGCCCTTCTCCGTCCTCCTCCTCCGCGGCCGCCCTCTGCTGCCTCCCGCCTGCCAATGTACGATTCGCCCAGCAGAGCCGCCACGCTCGTCGGGCACAGAAGGACATGCCAGTACAGTCAGCTCGTGTCGTAAGGATCCGCTGTAAGGATGCAAGGGCCTTGGAGGGCCATGTTCACGTCTTTCGAACGAGGTTGGCCAACGAAAGTGGCCAAGGATGGACCGAGGAGGCAAGGACGCAAGGGCACCCTTGTGGAAATTTGCCCATTCTTACTGTTCGGATTGACCGTAACACAGGCATTCGAACAAAAAAAACGAACACTCCTGCGACGTTCATCGGTCAACGCCTCCCCCCCCCGGTTTTCTACGAACACACCCTCAATCTGGTCAGCAAACGCGGTGAGGCGCGGCGTACAGGGACTGCCACGCTTGGTCGTGAGATGTTGCAGCTTCTTTGGTCCCAGTGTCCAAAGTTGGCGGTCGTGGGCCTGATGAGTTGCACTTCGACCGCGGCACCCTCCGCGCGTGCCCAGCTTTGAGTTTGTGGGAGGAGGGGGAGCGTCCACGAATTGGTGCCCTCTCTACCGTACAGTCGGGGCATTGACCTAAGGAACCCTAAATAAGGAACGAGGCCCCTTTTTCCCAAAAGCTAAACTTCGATTTCCCATCGAAGCCCTAAGCAAAACCAAAGGCGAACTGCAGAACAACTAAGGAACACCGAGCCCCTCCCCAACGAAAAGGGTTCCTTCCTCGGCGCCCCGACTGTATGTGCTCTGTGGGAGGCGCCCGTCCGAACCGAACATCTAGTGCACGTCTTCGTACTTGGCGCTTCGGCACTGGGCGGAGAGGGGACGGGGGAGGGGGGGGTCTGGCTCCAGACCTCCGCGTAGCGCGACTGTCTGCAGGAGTGCGGCCTCTGGGGGACTCCACCCGCTCGAGACGGGCGCCAAAAAACAGCCAAGATCCACTCCATGGGGGGGGGGTAAGGGGGGGGGTGCGAGGGCCCGCGCCGATCGGCAAGACAAGGAATGAGAAAACGACGACCTAGTAGCTTACCGTCTCCCGAGCGGTGTGACCAGCAAGCGCCCGCCACGGAGCTAGAACTGCATGATTTCTCGGATCGCCCGCCTCGACCCTGCGGGTGCGACGCACACCTCGTGCTAGTATTAGGTCGGGCGTGTCCCCCTACAGGCGGATTTTCGAGGAACAATACAACATAGTCAAACAACGCAACAAAAACTCAAATATAATAATAACATCGTCCCTATACTATTTTTTACTCCTCCTGTAGAGGGGTACGCCCGAATCAATACTAGTTCCTATCATAAGGGCGTGGCCACCCCATGGGGTCTGCGGAAACAGCGACAGCGCACAGATTAAACCGAGAGACGAGGGGTCATCAACCTTTTTCATCAGGCAAGCGCCGTGGGACACACGGTGGTACTCAAAAACTCGAGCCGTGGAAGTGGAACAACTTCTGCGGCTAAGTGCAATCACCAAAAATTGCCACACACACACACACACAGTACATTTGCGTGGTGTGTGGGGGACGGTGGGTGGGAGCTTGAGCAGGAGCGGTTTCGGAGCAGAGGGAGAGAGCAGCAGCAGGAGCAGCGAACGAGACGGACGCGGCTCCACTGCTCAGAAACTCCCGAGGCCACTCGCACTTAGGAAAACGAGTCAGAGACAAATCATTCCTATCATAAGGGCGTGGCCACCCCATGGGGTCTGCGGAAACAGCGACAGCGCACAGATTAAACCGAGAGACGAGGGGTCATCAACCTTTTTCATCAGGCAAGCGCCGTGGGACACACGGTGGTACTCTAAAAACTCGAGCCGTGGAAGTGGAACAACTTCTGCGGCTAAGTGCAATCACCAAAAATTGCCACACACACACACACACACACACAGTACATTTGCGTCCCATCCCCATCGTCAAATGCCCTTCGGGAGGGCGGGTGGGTATAAATCATTATCACTGTTTAGGTCCGAGGCCGGGGCGAAGAGACAAGACTAGTTGGCGCACACGCGCCTGAGGATGTCACGAACTGTCGAGTCAGTAAAACGGGCAGCTGACGAGATCTGCAGTTCAGTGAGCTTCGACCTCTGACGAAGGGCAGACCCGTGCTTTTCATATATACGAACACTCTCTCGGGCGCGCCAGCGCCCGCGCTGCTGGATGGCCTCGATCGGTCGGATTTTGTTCAGAGCGTCGTGCGAGGGCCCTCCGTGGCGCAACTGGTGAGGAACTGACAGGAGATCACCAACTCCTGCTGAGTGGGCGGCCTGTTTCAAAGTCTTTTCAAACAGAGGAAGGGAAAGAGGGTGGAACAGAGTTGGCAGCTTCTGACGTCTGGCACGGGCTCGCAGCCTAGAGAGAATCTCGGGAACGACTCGGCGAACCGGCAGGTCAGTGCCGGCCTTCACCGTACAGTCGAAATCTTTGTTCTTGGCTGGCTTGTCGTCGCCAAGCGGTGCTACGACGACGGTGATGTCAGAAGCCCTGCCAGACGTACGAGAGCCGAAGACGTGCTCTGGCTTGATGGCAAGCAACTCGCCTGGCCGGAAGTACATGTCGAACCCGGTCACGGAGGCCAGGCACGCCAGCAGGTCGGACGTGGTCCCGTTGTCGAGCACGGCACAGGTCAGCTGGACGGCTTCGAACGGTGGCGGCTCTCGTGGCGTAGCCGGCAGTTTCGCCGCCCAACCAGTCAGGGCATCTTTGGCCTTATGGAAGCGAGGTCGGCTAGCAGACCATCCTCGAACTTTGCAGAGCCCATGCAACGCGTTTCGAGCCAGGTACTGGGGCTCACCTGCAAAGAACAAGTCTTCGAAGTACAAGTTGAGCGTCTCGTCTGCCAGCTCCGGCGTGGTCAGCAGCAAGCCCCGGCGATTGGCGTAGTCGGTCAGCTCGATCACGGCGGACGCGTAGCTGTCGACCGTGGCTGGCCGCAGCGAGGCCAGGCGGAGGTACTCTCCAGGGGCGGCCTGTCGCTGACCAGCAGCGACGTCTCCACGCGCGGCAGCCTGCGCTCGGCGGCGCCGGGCGGCCACGGCCACTGGACGAGGGACAGGGTCACGTTGGCTCCGGCCTGCACGCCTGGGCGTCAGCACGGCTGAGTCGGCGCCTGCCTCGACGTCTGCCTCGCGGGCGCCGACGCCAGCCGTTGCCCGCGGCTGCCAGTGCGACCGCGGCTGCGCCGGCGCTGGTGCAACCGCCACGTCAGCGGCTGCGCGGGCGCGGGTCGAGCGCGGTGGCCCACCCTGGCCTCCAGGGGAGCCGAAAGCGCTGCGGGCAGATCGGCGCCGTGACTCCGCGGGGCTCGGCGACCCCGGCCGCGCTTGCCAGCGCGTGAGCCCGAGCCTGGAGGTCATCCTGGGTCGAGCGCCCGAAAGCACTCTGAGGGGCGTCTGGGCCGGCCAACGAGGCCAGCAGGCGGCACCAGCTGGGTGGGTAAGCCCCGGCCAGAGTCGTCCGCCACGTCCAGCCTCGCGTCGGATGCCGGACCTTGCCCTGCAGCTCGACCCTGTGGCGGCAAGCGCAACAGCAACGAAGTGCAAGATGACCCAGCCCGGGAAGGCTCCCGGCGATCGCACCTGGCTTCTTGAAGGGCGCCCCGAACCTGCACGAGTCGAACAGCACCTTCGGCCAGGCAAGGCGCTGCAGCTCGCGCTGCAACGCGGGCCACTTCCAGACTCGGCTCGCAGGCGGGTTCTCGAAAGTGACGAAGATCCCCAGGGTTCGGCAGAGCCGCAAGACACGGACTGTGAATGCCACGAGCGTGCGGTCCGCCGGCGATGGATCGCGCGCCCCCCCGACGGGCACCCACCTCGTGCAAGGCAGGCCCAGGTGGACCCACCAGACTTCTCCCGATTTGAGCCAATGTTCAACGAGATGCTGGACACGGCGGCTTGTGAGGTCACAGTGGGGCCCATACTTGGAGTCCATCGGGGGCATGATCCGAAAACCTCGCTCATGCAGCGCACCACTGAGATTTGCAGTACCCGCGAAGATCTCGAGGAAGGCTTTACGAGGGGGACCCCGTCGAGGAACTTCAGGAGGCCGAGGGCGCTTAGCCAGTGCCCGTTGAGGCTCTTCGCGTGGTCCAAGATGTACAGGTGGGCCCCGTTGTAGAACTGCAGGAGGCCGAGGGCGCTCAGGAGGGTCCTGTTGAGGATCTTCGCGTGCCCCAAGGTGTACATGTGGGCCCCGTAGAGGAACTCCCGGAGGCTCGGGTGCAACAGGGAGGCTCCGAACATGTTCATGTCGATCTCGTCGGGGTCGCTCGTTGGGGAGTACTCTCGAGACTTCATCTTGGTGCCTTTTACTCTGGAAAGAAGAGGAATGCGTGGCAGAGAAAGGCTGAGGTGACGGAGGTGAAGGAATGCAACGGTCTCTTTCGGTGTTTTCAGGCCCCAGCAGCTCGGCCTGCTCTCGTCCGATCTCAAACTCGGTAGCCGTGGTCGGCGAGGCCTTGGCCCAGCCCGCGGCTGGCGGGACCACGGGAATTCGGCGGCTGCCGCTGGTGGGCGCCGACAGGGCGCCTCGTCCGCGGTAGCGTCCGGGGAGGAGCTCACCCCGGTCAGCCGCCCGGCTCCCGTGGTCCGCGACGTTGTAGATGCCAGGCACGTGCCTCGGGCGCCAGCGGATCTCGCACCCGAAGCAGACGGCCGCAGCCCGGCGACACTGCGCCAGGAGCTCAAAATTGGTGGCCCTGCCCTTCTCAAAGGCGAGGACCGACGACATGTTGTCGCACAGACTGAGGATCTCCTTCCCGTGGAAGTTGACGTCGCCTGCCGCTCTCCATAGCGGTGCGACGGCGGCGCGCGCCTCGAGGGCGTGGATACGCCCTGGCCGGCGCCACGCGCCACGGCGGCGCTCCACCCAGCGGCCAGCGTCCAGCAGAGCGTCCGCCAACGGCTCGGGCGGGACGCCGATCTCCAACTCGACCCGGCGCCTCTTGGCCACGGCGTGCCGCAGCCGGGGCGGCAGCTCGACGGGCAGTGGCTCGGAGATGTCGCAGAAGCCGGCGGCCCGCCCCTCGTACTGCTCGTCGTCGGGCGCGACCTCGGGCTCGGTGGCGACGAACCGCTGGCGCTCCCGCCATCTGGTGGCCGCCAGCGCCTCCCAGGGCTCCAGCCGGGCTTCGCAGACGGCGTAGCCTCGCAGCGAGCTGTCGGTCGTGAAGGCGACGTCGGACGGCACGCGGCACAGGTCCACTTCGCCGAGGAAGACGAGCCCTGCAGCAACTGCGAGCTCACCGAGAACATCTCCAGGCAAGCGCACGACAGGGGACAGGTCGCCGTCTCCGATGAACGTGTAGCAGGCCCCCAGCACGCTGAGCCCGGGGCGCACGACGGAGAACCCTGAGGTCTGAAAGGAACAAATTTTGGGAACATCATTATGTTCCCAAAATTTTGTTCCCGATGCATATACACGTACAACAACATGATGTTTTGACATGTGCAAGCTCAAAACATGTAATACTAGTCGTTCGCGGTACAAAACCACGATGTGTTACGATGTGTTGTGCTGAACGTACTATTGTTGACGAGTTGTTGGTTGTGTTGGTGAGTTTGTTTAGCGTTGCATGCTTGTTGAGGTTTAGGCGAGATCTGTGAGGGTGGGGGCAGGTAAGAAGAAACGCCAGACCAGCCCCTGTGCGCTCATCATCACCATGATCATCATCACCACCACTATATGGCCTTCCCCTCTTCTACCCCCCTCCTCGTTCTTTCTCGTCGCAGGGCGTTTGGCCCGAGGGATTTCTCAGGCCCCTCAAGGGGGTTCGGGCCCGTGGGCCCGACTATGTCGGACGAGAAGAAGCCACGCGGGGCCCCTCGCCAGAGAAGCATGTGCGATGCTGGCGCGCTGGGCCAGCTGTGGGCGGAGCTGATCGTGTCCGACGACATGTCGGAGTCTCAGCTGCCCCACGGGGGGTGGACACGGAGGAAGGAGGATAATATCACGAGTGCTCGGAGGGGAACGGGAGAGGAGAGGAGGAGCTAGAGGGGAATTCACGAGTACTTATAGGAGAAGGAGTAGGGAGGAGGAGGAGGAGGAGGAGGAGGAGGAGGAGGATGACGAGGACGAGGAGGAGGAGGAGGAGGCGGAGGAGGAGGGGGATGAGGAAGAGGACGAGGAGGAGGAGGCGGAGTAGGAGGAGGACTGAGGGGAGGACGAGGAGGAGTACGAGAAGTAGGAGGACAAGTGATAATGCATGTCCAGCCGTGGCTGAACTATACGACGGACTTATGCGGCGAGGTGGACTCCGAGGAGCTCAGCAAGAAGAATATCGTGGAGCTCATATCACGATCGCGCATGCTGGCCCCAGTCGGCGGCATCCCGCAGAAGATTGCAGAGGCATTGGGCATAAAGCCGTGCCCTCCTCATCCTCCTCCTCCTCATCCACCTCCGTTTCGCCCTCCTCCTCCTCCTCCTCCTCCTGTCCCTTCCTCGTCCGCCTCATCCTTCTCCTCCTCCTCCTCCGCCTCCTCTTCCTCCCCCTCCTCCCCCTCCCCACCCTGCCCCGAAACGTTAGCCAGGAAACACGAGGGTAGGGAAGGAGGGAGGGGAAGAAAGGATAAACTGGTAAACCACAGAAAGGGCGGGAGTGAAGTGGAATAACAAAAACTGAAGGTGTGGATGGGAGGATTCAGTGAGCTCATCATTTCTGAGGCTGCCCTCGGCGAGGTCGAATGTTCGAAGTGATCCTCAGTGACCTTCTAATTTAGATTGGAAGGTCACTGGGGATCACTGTCTGCTCACTGGTTCCAGTGAGCCGACAGTGAGGTCATTCGGTCCGCATCCGCCCCATCGCCCCAGGCTGGGCTGGCGCACGTCGTGGAGGTGAACGAGGCCACCTGGAAGCTCGCCGACGCAGGCAAGCGGTGGTGCATCGACAACGCCAAGATGCTCAGGGCGATGGTTCGCCACGTGTCCAAAGCTGTCTCGAGGACAGGGTTTCAAACGACATTACCCCGACAGCAGTACCCTACCCATTCCCCTTTCCAAAAGGGGATGGGCCCCTGGGACCGGCGGGGGGAGGATCGATGGGGGTCGGACGGACGGGCTAGAACGGGTTTGCAAGATCAATGCAGGAGTCCCGTGCCGAAGTGGGCGCACGTGTACATGAGCGAGGCCGACCGCGCGCTGCTGGACCAGCAGCCCCCGACCAAGAAGCAGCGGATCGAGCAGGAGTCCGACGACGCGGTCGACTCGAGATGGAAGCTCGGCTACGTGAAGGAGCTTCAGGCGAAACGCCAAAAACGTCCTCGTCCTCGTGCTCCTCCTCCTCAACTCCTCCTCCTCCCCCTCGTCCTTACTCCTCCTCCTCCTCCTCCTCGTCCTTGCTCGTCCTCCGCTTCAACTCCTCCTCGTCCTCCTCCTCCTCCCCCTCCTCGTCCTTAATCCTCATCTTCCTCGTCCTTCCTCCTCCTCGTACTCCTCGTCCTTGTCGTCGGTGCCGTCCTCCTACTCATCCTCCTCATCCTCATCCTGCTCCTCATCCCCCTCGTCCTTCTTCTCCTCCCTCCTCCCTTCTCATTCCTCACTCCTCCCTCCGCCTGCTCCACCTCGAACTGGTCCTCCTCCTTGCCCTCCTCACATTTGTCCTCATCCTCTTCGTGATATCCTAGTCCACCCACCGCCTCCCCGAACTTTCAGGGGGGCGGGGGGGGGCGGAGGAGGGAGGGGAATTCGGCAAAGGGGGCGGATGGGAGAGGTGGAGGTTAGACGAGGAAGGAGGAGGCTTCATATGCTCACTGTTCTTGCGAATCCCCAGTCAGCATGGCGCCTGCCAGCCGATGGGTCACAGAGGAATCCTGATTATGTGGTAGTGGTGCCGAACAAGTCTGAGAACGTCTTAGAGGCCATATGGCCCGACGGTTTCAAGTGGAAGGTGCAGCTTTAGATCTAACACTTTCGTAAGTTAACGATGATGTTCCTCCTTCTCCTCCTACTGCCCTCTCTTACTCCTCACCCTCCAGCAAGGTGCCTGACTCCACTGCCGATGACCTGGATGGCCTCGACTGCGGCAAGAAGCACTCGAGCTTCATCTTCTGGGCAGGCGAGCACGTTGGTGACAAGCAGCGCATCAAAGCGCTCACAGTCAACAAGAAGGACAAACAGTGGATCCAGGTGCTGCACGGCAACAAGCAGAAGCTACAAGTAATGGGCATCGACGTGAACGACGACGCCAAAGCCTTCGTGACGGGCATCGTGCAGCTATACGCTTTGGACAAGATGACAAAGCAGCAGATGGAGGATGAGAAGAGGCGTTGGTTGAAGGAGCGGGCCAAGGTGCTCAAGCGGCCTGCATCCACTATGAAGCGGCCAGCGGCTGCCGCGGTGAAAGGCGAAGCCAAGGAGGAGCCAGAGATCACCGCTGAGCCCGAGGATGAGGACAAGGCCGTGGAGGGCGAGGGAGATGATGACGATGACCAGGCCGCAGATGACGCTGCTGGCGAGAACGAGGACGAGGAGGATGAGGAGGCGGACGAGGAGCTGCGGCCCGCGGAGCGCAGTGAGGATGCGCGCAGCCAGGAGGCCGAGGAGGTCGAGGAGGCCAGGGAGCCCGAGCAGCCGAGCACGGTGTGGGTTCCCAAGCACATGAAGATGACGGCGAACATCCAGAACCCCATGGGGCCCAAGAAGCCGAACAGCACGCCCGTGAAGCCCAAGAAGCTGCCCGCGCCCGCTGCGTCTGTGACTGGTGCGTCGAGCGCGGCGCCGCCAATGCCAGCGATCTCAGGCTCGTTCATGAGCTTGAGCGCGGCGCCGCCGATGCCAAGGATCCCCGCAAGTTTTTCCATGATGAGCGGGATTTTCATGTGATCGAGCGCGGGCTCGGAGAGAGTGGGGAGGGTGAGTGGGACGTCAGAGGATGCAGCTGGCAGCGAGGGGGTGGGCCTGCATTCTGGGCAGATTGAGATCGCTTGGACCTGGTGGTGCGTGCATTTGAACGCACTCACCGCCCTCGTTTTCTCTCCCACTCCGTCTCTCGCTCTCTCGTTCTCTCTATCTCCCTCTCTCCTTCACTCGTTCCCTCCCTCGTTCCCTCCCTCACTCTCTCTCTCGCTCTCCCTACCTTGCCCGCCCTCCCCTCCCTCGCAGTCACGAAGCCGCATGCAGTGGCTGGTGCCAGCTCGTTCTACTTTTGCCTCTGCGAGGCTTGGGCAACGATTGCAGCAATGCGTCGCATTGCATACTGCAGCAGCCGCTGGAGACAAAAACAAAACTACACTCAAGCCGCTGGAAGAAAGACCTTGTGGGGCCCAGAAATTTAAAATCTCAACGTTCTTGGGGCTCTACGGAATGACACCCTAAACGCATCGTTCCGCATTAACCGCGCATGTAGTTCTGAGGCCCCAGGAGGCCCCAGGCTGCCTCAGGAGGCCCCAGGAGACCCCAGGAGGCTCCAGGAGGCCCCAAGAGGCTCCAGGAGGCAGCAGGAGGATCCAGGAGGTTCCAGGAGACCCCCAGGAAACATTGCATGGCACTGTCAAATCATATGGGAGGTCCCTCATGGCAAGAAGTCCCGCTTCGAACGTCAGACACCCACGTCGTATTGAAGGTTCCTTGTGACAAGACGTCCCTCTTCAAGGCAATCGTGATTGCCGTTGGCTCGAGTGGACAATTCCTACCCACGTGCCCCGATGGTGCCTCCAGAGCGGGCGATGGTGACGCCGCCCTCGGGCGGCTCAGCGAGCTGCCCCTCGCCGCCAGCGAGCGGCGGCTCGCCTAGGTCGGCAAGGCTGCGGCACAGCCAGGATGGTCAATACCCAGAGTCGCAGTTTCCGTACAGTGTGTACCCGCCTGCATGCGCTACGCAAGTTGAGACTGCTACCGACGCCTTCGAAGATTTCAGGAGGGAGCGGCAGCAACAATGGCAGCAGGAGCTCAGTCGCGGCGAGGGGCCAGTCCAGCACCCGATCGAAGTGAGCGACTCTTCGGACTCCGCTGCGCCGACCGAGCGCGCTGCAGATGAGGAACTGCAGGCGGCGATTGTCGAGAGCCAGCGGGAGCACGACAAGGAGAGGGCCATGAACGACGAGGAGGCGGAGCAGCTGCAGCAGGCGACGCAGCAATCCAGAGCGGATGCACTACGCAAAGGCATAGATCCTGATGGTGTTCTGCCACCTCGCGGCAGCAGTCTGAACCCTACAGCACGCTCCAGCAGGGACACCGACGCAGGCGAGAGCGCTGGTGGTTGCGCAGCAGGCGCAGCCGAGAGTGCGGGCGACACAGCACCACGCGCTACAGCAGCCGAGACATTCGGTGGTGAGGCAGCCAACGTTGCAACCGCCCATGCCACAGACGCAACCACCGAGAACGCCGCAGGCACGGCAGCTGGCGTCGCCGAGGTCAAGGACGTCGACTTGACAACGCCCCCGAAGAGGAAGAAGCACGACCTGTCCATGAAGATCATGCGCCGCGACGGCGACTTCGAGGACACATGCCGCTTGGGGGAAATGAATTCGATCGGTGAGATCTGATGGGGCAACTGGCTTGTTTCTAAATGACACAATGGCCTCACCGAACGATCACTGTACGCAATGAGCCGAAATGAGCCCTGGGGAGCCGTCGGTTCT